CTTCAGTTTAATCATGAAATTGGATCCCTGAATTAATACATTTGTACGTTTTCACTAAATCTGGCAAAATTTGGTAATAAAAAGGCTGATGACAATGATTTATAGGTTCAGAGATCATTACATGGCAAGGCCAAGGAAAGAGTGTGTCATGGGCATTCTCCAAATTTCATATTCCATGATTACAATAAGAAGGATGATCATTTGATAGTACTTACCATGGAACATTGCGCTTGACATCATTATCTGATTTAGCAACATGCGTTAAGTTTTAGGATTACAAAGGAGCAATTGAGCAGCCCAATGCATGAGACCGTCGATGCGGGGTCTAGGAAGCAAATGCACTCAAGTTGATGAATGAACTGCAATTGCTACCAATAAACATGAGGAAATCGATCTTCAAAGATAAGAGAAGAAAAAATGGAATAATTGGTGGCTGATTAACACTCATATAGCTCAGTCCCAAGGTAGAAGACAATGAACAATGTCTTCATTTGAAGGGTAGTTTCAACATTTTTAAAAATTTTAAGTTGCACATGTCATCATGTGATTAGATAACTAACGGTCAGTTAATGACATGGACCAACTTGACACTTTTGAAAGTTTGGGTACTATAGTGACACATTTGAATGTTTGGGTACTAACTTGACACTACCCCTAAAGTTCGTGGTACTAAAGTGAAAATTTCCCTTAATTTAATTAGGAATAGCAATGGATTGGGGACCATATTCCCCATCATCAACCCCAATTTTGAAATAAATCCTTGCCTTCAACCCTGGTCCCCACTGGGATAAAAATTACCCTTCATCCCTAATCCCCAATGGAGCAGATTCCCCATAGGGACTTGAATCCCCACATTTTTTAATTAAAAGTATTTATTGGAAAATATATTTGCTTAATATAAAGGAAAATTTTAAAGTATAAATAATATTTTAAAAATATTTTGATATATATATAATATAAATAAGATTATATGTATGTATACACACACACACAATATATATATATATATATATATATATATATAGATAGATAGATAGAGAGAGAGAGAGAGAGAAAGAGAGACTGAGAGAGAGAGTGAGAGAAAGAGTGAGAGAGAGAGACTTATATGGAAACTTGATCAACTTATGAAGTCAGGTGGTGTCTAACCAATTCAACCATTTTTAATCCGAATCAAATTGATCAATCTATGAAGTCATAGTTAGGCAATAAAAATTTAAAAATAAAAATAAATATAGAAACTTACAAATAATGTAGAAAAATTAGACACATTTATGATATTTTTATTAATCAAATTAAAAAAATAAGAGTAATAAACAAGAATTATTTTTATTGGTAATGAAGATGAAATACACAATTTAGAACTAACCAAAAATGAAATTATTTTACTATTTGGCAAAGATCAATAGTTCAAATTTTGGGTCAAACATGTTAACCTTTAATGTCATAAATAAATAATAAAAGTTAATAAAATATAAAAATACATAAATTAAAAAATATATTTAGGCACATCTATAATATCATATATTTATCATATTAAACAAAAAGTAAGCATGACATATTAATATTATTTTTACACACAATAATGCAAAAAAGTTATAGAAAAAATTGAACACAGCTATAATTCTATATTTACAATATTATTAAAAATATAAATAAGATTTTGGAACTTTATTTTGACTAAAATACTCATTTTTTAATTTAGTTCTTATTTAATTATGAGTTTTAAGTTGTAAATTGCACTACTACTTTTCACCCCATTCAATCCCCGCTATTTAAATCTTACATTTTTCATAAATAAATAAATAAATAAACACCAAAAAGATTAAATACTACAAAAAGAATAATCTAGCCAAGCAAATAGGTCTATCAATGGTACTTTAAACTTCACAACTCGATCCGATTATCACATATTTGGATGAGGTGTCTATGTAATCATATTTGAATTTTCAATCCGCATATGATTAATAATAAAAAACAAAAAATAAAAAATACATAAAATTTATAGAAAATTTAGATACATTATTATTATCATTCTCATCATCTAGAATTACCATGTTCAAAGCTCGTTGTCACGGGATGACACAATGGGTTGTTGGGCTAGAGGTTTTCTAGATGTTTCTTGAGGCTTCTAATCAATTATGCATGCATTTTAGGTATTATGGAATGTTCTTCATGTGTCTAGAAGGGTCTAGATGTTGGTGGAACTCTCTAGAGCCTTGTGGAACAATCTGAGTTTGTGTAGAACAACGTATAGGTGTTGGGAACAATCTAGACTTCCTCTAGAGTGTTTTTGCACGTATCTTATGGAGAAGGCATTCTCTAGATGAGTATAGAAGGTAGAATATTCTATGGGTGCTTCTACATGGTGCCAAGTGTATATGGTTTTAGAGGATTCATGAAGGGTGTTAGTGTATAAATAGGGGTCCCCTCTTTCTTTTGCAAGAGACATTCAAGTTGCAAGAGCATTATTTGAGTTGTAAACTTTATTCTAGTGCAATACAATATATTCCTCTTACAATACTTTGTGTGCTCTTGTGTGCATTGGTGTATGTCCTCAGCATTTAAGCAACCTAGCATGAAGGGTTTTGTGCGTGCATTTTGGCTGATTTGCTTGGAGGGCCAAGTGAGTGCCACACAACTTAGCCAATGGGAATAGTCAGGTCGTGACAACGTGCACACTTACTAGTGTGTGTGTGTGTGTAATTAGGTGTGAGGACTTCACTCCCATTCCCATCATTGTCCTTGACCGAGTATCTCTATTAATTGCCACCCTAGATTTAATTATAATTTACATAAACTTATAGTTAATTAATTTCATTAATAGATAAATCTAATATCAAATCTATACTATATTATAAGATGTAATTGTCCACAACAACTTACTCTCTTTTACTTCCTAACTATTTCAAAATTTTGTGTTTTTTTAATTGAAAAAAATAAAAAGTAAATATAGAGTGATTTAAGTTCATCAAATCAATTCAATTATGAAACTGAAGTAAATTAAATTACTTAAACATTTATCAACATTTAAATATATAAACATGCTTATATTCAATAACGCAAGTACATATGTATAAATCCACATATATAGCCTTATTGTATTTATCTTTATTTTTATTTTACTAAAAAGAAATTTAGTAAAAGTTAAATCGATTTAATAAAAAAATAAACAAACTAATACAATTAGGAATGTCTTAATGGTCTTTCTTGGGGTGCAACTTGGGTGGATTGGGTTAGATTGAGCTCAGACTTGGCCCACTCAAGGTTAATCCTGAGTTTACCAACTCATGCCTAACTCGCACTTAATCCAATATCTCAAGTTGGGCTTGGGCATGTTGAGATTTATACATCGATTTCCAAATATAATGGATTGGTAATATGCATGTATGTATGTATGAGGTTGGATTTTGTTGGGCTTGGCAATTCGAGGCATCAACCCAAGCCCAACATTGATTGAATTGAATCGAGCCCACCCAAATAACATCCCTAACTCCTATTGCCTCAAATTCTTTTAACGGTGGTTGTGCACCATACAAATCCCTATTAGTTCATCTATATAAAATCACTAAATTTTGCATCAAAATATAAGAATTATATAGGGGTGTAAATGGATCAAATTCGAATTGGATTAAAAAATTCGAGATCTAAATTCGATTTGATATCCAACGGATATCAAAAATTAATATTCGAATTCGAATCTGATTAAATATTCAAATATTCGATTCGAACTATTTAATTATTTTAGGTAATTAATAAATATATAAAATAAATATTTTATTTATATAAATTTTAATTATTATATATAAAATACATAAAACATTTAAAATTTTATATATTATATATACGAATTAAATAATCGTTTGAATTCGGATATTTATCGAATCAAATCAGGCCATATCCGAATTCGAATCCAATTAACTATTCGATATGAATAGAATATCCGAATTCAACCAATTAAATATTCAAATTATTTAAATTCAATTAAATTATGTCGAATCCCGAATTGAAAATCGGATTTTTGAATACCGTTTACACCCCTAATTACATACATCAGACTCCGAGCACAAGCTGATCCAGTGTAGGGCTTCCCCCTCCCCCAAAAAACTCAAGTATATAACAATGTATAATTGTATATAAATAACTTAAACTCAATTCTAATACTATTAGAGGCAGTCTGGACGGTGACCTGATTAGCCCGCTCCATCGACAATTTGATAAATGCGCAAATGCAGATTTTGTTTAAATTTCGAAGGACCCGGACCCGATGCAGTCAAATCGCGTACCCGACTTGTCCTCCTCTACCCATCAAGAATATAAAAAACAGAATGAAGCTCAGAAATTGGAGGAGGAATTCTGAGATGAGCGGCAGAATTATCAAATACGTCGTTGGCCACAGTGTTTTCCAATAAGATGACAATGATACGGAGAAACCCAATCATGGCTACAGGTGGGCCGCAGAGCCGGTGGGCTCTTTAGTCCCTACTCCAGATTCCAACATACTGTTGTATAACTGCGCAACACCGTAATTTATCCCACACCTTTCATCTCTTTTGAAAATTTTCAAATTGCCTTAGCGGAATCACCCGCGACCGATATATTTTTTTAACAAAACAACACGACCGCCGTTGATTCTTTTTATTTTCTTCATTTTTCATTTTTTTCTAATATTTCTACTTACGACAGGTAAGTACAGAAAAGTAATTAAAGCGAAACCGACGTCATGTGACACCATCTCTAACAACCGTCGCATTAGAATAACTGCTCTGGTAGGTCCAACCAATCATTCTAATCCGACGGTGGTGAGAGGCTATTTCTTTTATATTATTACATTTTTTATTTTTTTAAGTACGCTGTCACCGCTCCTCTCTCTTTCTCTCTCTCTCTCTTGAAAACCTTCAAAGGGACTAAGGTAAAGGGACCCTCAGAGACCTAACAATGTTTGTATTTCCATGCGCAATCATAATAAAATTACGCACATAGCGTAGAATCCAAATTACCCTCCTTCCTCCACTTTCTCTCTCTACTCTCTCTATCTCTATCTCTCTCTCCAACGTGTAGCGAGGGAAGGAGATATAGGCACCGTACGCACCTTCTTTCCTCCTTTTGTCATTTGGGCGCTCCCTCCCTACCTGTGCCGGCAGGGACAAAAAAGAACGAAGAAGCAGAGGGACTACGCTCATTCTCTCTGCATTCTCTCTCTCTCTCTGGTTCATCTCCTTCTTCAAAGCCATTTTTGTTCATCAGTGTAGATAAGATAGATTTCGTTAGATTTGAATCGAATAAACAGAAATGTCGGAAGACGAGAAGTTATTAAAAGAAGCGAAGAAGCTGCCATGGGAAGATCGTCTATTGCACAAGAACTGGAAGGTCAGGAACGATGCCAACATCGATCTGGCCGCCGTCTGCGATTCCATTACCGATCCCAAGGATGCTCGTCTCAGAGAATTCGGTGAGTTTGCTCTACTATTTCTAGGGCACAGATCTGCTAGATTATTGTCTGAGTTTTGATCGATCTATCCCTTCACCTATGGTGCCTACTGATGCATTTTTCAATGGATCGAATGCCAAAGTCTTTTTGCCCTGACTTGTATATATCTTATTTGTTGTGCTTGATGAATTGAAATTGTCATTGCTGTTATGTTTTGTAATCAGGTCCGCTTTTTAAGAAGACCGTCGCTGATTCGAACGCTCCTGTTCAAGAGAAAGCCCTTGATGCACTGATTTCTTTCTTAAAAGCTGCCGACTCTGATGTTGGAAGGTAAAATGCACCATTTAGAATAATTATAAAAAAATGCACCTTTTAGAATGTTGCCTTCATTTCTATGCGTTCTCTCATTTGCTTTCTAATATGTACATGTGATCTTTTATGAAGGTATGCAAAAGAAGTTTGCGATTCGATTGTCGCTAAATGCCTAACCGGTCGGCCCAAGACAGTGGAGAAGGCTCAGATGGCGTTTATGCTTTGGGTGGAGTTGGAAGCGACGGAGGTGTTCCTGGTAAGTCTTTGTATTTTGAATACAAGATAAAAAAAAGGTTCTGTGCACCTGGCTTAGGCAGAATTTGACAATACACTTTCTGCACAATTCAATGCTTCAGAAAGAAAATGGGTTCAGTCATTGTTAAAGAAGTTCAATTCTGGAATTTGCTTAATCCTCTCTTCTGTATAATCATAAGTTCCTTCCTATGGCATTCATTTTGTTCCTGATAGCAAATCATATGTTCCTGGATTTGAAGTCTCAGTTCCAGCCGGCAGTCAGTTTTAATCTCATTAAACTATTTCTTGGTTCTGAACTTTCCAAATGGTTTTCTTACTAATACTGGGTCATTATCTGTGCCATGCCAATCCATATTGGAATGTTTTCACACATTCTGGTATTCTTGGCATTTCTTCTTTTTGAGTAATTGTTCATGGCAATTGATGCAATTCCCACTGCTCATATGCTCATCATGCATATGATGCAATCTTGCTGTTTTCTGAAATTGTGGGTTTCTATATGCAGAATTGATATTTAGCTAATCCCTAAATGGTTAAATATGAGAAGCAAACCTATTGGGTCTAATATAAAATTACCTATTTTTGGAATTTTGGAGATGAAGATAACCCTCCCTCCCTCTATTAGGTAATATAAAATTACCTATTAGCACTTAGGATAATAGGATCTTTTTTGAAGCCGAGTCTGATGAAACTGTTCCATTTTTCAGTTGTCAGTTTCACAGCATTTGAATGCATAGACAAATCTCCCAATTGGAAAAATTGGATTTATAATAGAAAAATTGATAAGGTTGAAATCAGTTCATTTCATGAAATCATCAAATTACCTTATTACGTTTTTATTAGTATTCCTGTATTGGGTCATCTTAGATTATGAGTTTGTCTTCAAATACTATGGTGAACCAAACTGAAACATTTTTTGTTCTATGTGCATTTTAATATCTTGTTGTTAAATCTTTAGAGTTTAGAACACTAGAAATGTTAACAAATGTTGAAACTTTGGTATTATGGTTCTTGGTGATACCCACATACATGTATAAGTGGATGTATCATGTTGGATATTTCCATTTTTAGTGTAATTTTTTTTCCCAACACCTTATCTAGTTGTGACCTTGCCATATCCAGGTAACATAGGTAGACTATGTTATTTTGTAAGCTGGAGGGGGATGTATATGTGAGACTATGATATATCATTTCAGATATGGTTATTTTGTAGAATGTTTTGTTTTCTTCATTAATGATATCCGATTTTTCAATTGCGAAGGACGGACCTTAGATCTTAGTGTCAGTTAACTTGGCTATGGATATGCTTTAAAGATAATTTGGAATAAAGACTGAAAGAAAGCTGCATCAGATAAATGTTTGACAACTAATGTCCTCATTAAAAGGGGTGTGATCTTGGATGGTCATATGTTCTTTGTCTAGAGTGTGCAGAATCCTCTAGTCAACCATTTATTCATTGCAAATTCTCTTATCAGTTGTGGATGTGGCTTTACCATGCTTTGGGGGTGTCTGGCTGCTAACCAGAATCAGTGGAATCCCTGTTTTCAAGGCTGATGAGTGCATGATTTGAGTAAAAGGGCAAGAATCTTTGTGGGATGTTTAAATTTGCAATTTTATTGTTTATATGGAATGAGAGAAACTCTTGAATTTTTGAAAACAAATTTGTTGAAAATATGAAATAGAAGTGGCAATGATGACATGCACAAATCAAGAAATAGAAGTGGCAATGAGGAAATTGAAGGGTTTGGTTCATGTCAGGGTATCCAAAAAAACTTTTCTGGGGGTAATGGTGGTTGAGATTATAGTGGCTGGATTTTGAGTTTTGATGAGTCAAAGGGCAAAATTGAGTTTTTACCTCAGGCAAGGGCCAGGGAGATATGTTTAGAGAGTTGTGTGACTTTTAGTGATGCCTTTGTTTTGGGTGAGACCCAATATGCTGCATTTCATTGTTTGAATGAGGGTTTGGACAAGGGAGCATGTAGATACTCATCTTGCGTTCTTGAATTTCTTCTTCCCACAAGCCTAATTTTTGTTATAAGTGCAAAGTAGGTGCTTTAGTAGCTGTTCTTGAGCATAAAGATGGTTCAAGTTAAAACTTGAAATTCAGAAAATCTGTGTAAATGGTGATAGAGCATGTTTACATGTTGAGGACAAAGATAAAAAGTAGGGTGGTGTTGATGGAAATCATGTTTGTAGTCAAGAGATTTTTTATCAATTGTTGAGTCATGAAAAGGTAATAGATTTTAGTTCTGGTAAATCCCTTAAAGTTTTCTTGGCCAAATGCCAAAGGCTTTGTTATGCTTTATGCTTGGAGGGGATGTTGTGCAAAATTTCAGCAGGGGCTTTGGTGAAGCGTGTATTGATATATGTGAGTTTATTTGAATGTTTTTGTTCTGAAATGGTTTAAGGAGATCTTTGTTGATGCTACAGGGTTTGATGTTGGACTTGGAGATTATATGAAGCAGCAAGAATGCAAGACATAGGGTTCCTTCTCCATCTGAAATTGACTTTGTGTTTAAAGTTAAACCTGAGGTCATTTTGTGTAGGGTGCAATCAGATAGTTGTTGTGTCAGAAGATCTGAAATAGCTGATAATTTGGAGAAAGGAATTGAGGTGGGGGGTTTTGCTTGATTGTTCTAGCAATCTTTTTTTTTTTTTTTTGAGAAATGGTGAGGAGTCTTTCTTTTAGATATATAATGATGTGAATCCTGCTGCCCAGTTGATGAGGCAGTGCTCATAAATGTGAGAAGGGGTTTGGGTAATTGCATGGGATGTTGGGGTAATGATGTGTGGGGTTGTGTAAGTTCAAGATGAAGTTTTATCAGAAATAAAAAAGGCTATTATGGTTTGGTATATTGCCAGAGAAAGTTTTTACAGGTCCAAATTTGAAAGTTGGGGGTGATTTTTGGCTGATGTAATGCTGATAAAAGAAGGGCTGAAGTAGATGGGTATAGGATGTAAATGGAATGACTTTGAATTAAATCAGGGCATATTTGAATTCGTATTCTTTTAGAAAGTTAGTGATTAGAGATTTAGAGTTTGATTTGATATTTGTCAGATCTATACAAAGGCATACTGAGTTTGAATTTATCTAATTTGTCAAATATCTAAATTCAATTTGAATTCAACTGATCAACCCTTTAGTTGTGTTGAGGAGGGGCCATCACTAAGCCTTTAGTTTATTTATTTTTTTGATCAGTCTAAGCCTTTAGTTTAATGTCAAATGAACAGAAATAGAGATGGCCTTTCTTGATAGATCAGTGTTAGATTGAACATGTATGTATATATTAATCATGTATCCATTAGGGAACCCCAGGCAATCAGGGATTGCAGGTGTCTTCAGGGATCAGAATGGGGTTGTTTCTGCCATGTTCTCAGGCCCAATTGGAGTGGGTGACTCTCTCAGCACTGAGATCCACTCAGTTATGGAAGGTGTCCAGAAAGCTAGGGAGATGAATATCAGAAAACTAATAATTGAAGGAGACTCGGAGGTGGTGGTTGGGTGGTTGAACAAAGAAGAGAGTGGTTTATGTAGTTATAGTAACTTGAAGAGGAAATTCAGATGGATGGTTCGAGAAATGGAAGTTAAAATCAGTTGGGTAAAAAGATCAGCCAATTCTTTTGCTGATGGGTTAGCTAAACAAGGGGTGGACAGGGATGTCATGTTTTGGGCATAGATGTAATTTAATTTTTCTCTTCTTATATTCTCTCTTTCTCTCTTGTTTCTTCTCTTGGGGCTCATAATGTAGTTGGAAGATAAGAAAGTTTGTCTTCCTCTTTGTAATTATTGTGATAATTAATGAATTGTGTTATTGATAAAAAAAATCATGTATGCATTAGTTGTAGAAATCATTGGGTATTTATTGAATTGAACGAATCAGGCATATCTGATTTGTATGTGATAAATTAACTGGTGAAATCCATTATCTGAATCCAACAATACTGCATTCAGATAGTCTGAATTTTGATCTGATTATGGTGGATCTTGAATACAAAATCAGACTTTTGGGTGCGATTTACACCCCTAGTAGTGGTATTCAGAAATGGACAAATAAAGGATTTGTGGCGAAGTGATTTTGGGCTTGTTCTTTGCCCACAACTCCTTGTTGTACTCCTTTTTATAATTACTAAATCATTTTTGTGTTGCTGATAAAAAAAAATCAGTGCTGGCATTGTTAAACGGTTAAGGGTCTACGGTCCATACTCCATATTACTGAAGTTTTTTTGTTTTTTTTTTAATTTCTTTGACTGAAAAGTGGACTCTGTATGTGGGGCTGGGTAATGTAAAAAGTTTCAAAAGGTTTATAAGAGGAGGGAGTTTAAGGATTTCTCTCGTTAACTTGGTTAATCTGAATTGTTTGGCTGACAATCCTATGGTTGTGGGGAGAATTGAAGGGGCAAGAAAGGTGGGGCCATTGACAACTCTGAGATTTGTAAGGACCCATTTGCATTGTCTCAGTTTGAAGGAAATGCTGTTTATTCAGAGGATTTTAATCTGAATTCTGTTGTTATGGAGAGCAAATTATTGAACTAGACCATCCTTCGAGTTTTCAGGAGATCCCAAGAATAATCTTGTTGGTAATTCATAATTCAGAGAGAGAAATCAAGAAACAGACATTAGTGGGACCTTGTTCTCTAGAGAAGATTAATCTGGTTTGGAAAAAGGTGGAATATGAGGCAAGGTGCCAACCAGCTGGTTAGTAAAGTCTCGTGCTGGTCGTAGTGGAGACTTGGGATTGAATCCCACCTGCACCTGGGTTAGGGGATGGGCTACCCCCCGTTGTGTAGCCCTTCAAAAGAAATACAAAAAGGTGGAATATGAGCCATTTCCTAGAATGGAGGGTTTGGAAGCAGGTACAGGACTTCACCATGGACTACTCGGGGGAAATGCCCAAGCAACCCAACAAAGAGTTGGGGGTTTTGGAGCATTGAAAGGAAGATGGTGATATTTTATTAGACCAAATTGGGTAGATTGAGAAGTGGTTCTCCAAAAAATTAATACATTGGATGTGCTTCAAATAAAAAGATCAAATTGGTGCTTGTCCTCACATGTGTGTAGCCTTTTCTTGAGGAGTGGTGAGATGGTGAATTACCTATTAATATCTTGTCCTTTTATTGCTCTTATTTGGGATTGGTTCTCCTCTCTCTTTGATTGTAGGTGGAGTCCTTCGTCAAGTGTAGGTCTTTTTGACCCTAGCTTCTTCTGACAACCAAAGAAGAAGGAAAGGGTGATATGGAGAACAATGAGTGCAGCTATCTTGTGGGCAGTTTGGGAAGAGAGAAATAATAGGATTTTCTAAGGGAAAGAAAAAAACAGTTCCTGAACTTATAGAAGGGATCACCATCAAGGTCATACATCGGTTGAAAACTCTAAACTTATTCAAGGATGTTTCTGTAAATGACTTGACTAGAGATTAAGTATAATAGCAAGGTCTTCTGCTTCATCTTCTCTACCATTCAAGCAGTTTGGTCTCCTCCTATGCAATGTAATGTGAAACTAAACTCTGGAATTGAGGGTGTTTTTAGAGATGCAGGAGGAAGAATCCCAGCCATTTTTTCTAATCCAATAGGGTTGGGTGACTCGCTTAGAGCAGAAGTGATGGCCTTCCTCTAGGGGCTCAGATTAGCTAAGCAATTGGGCATTCAATAATTAGAAGTGGAGGGAGACTCGAAATTATTAGTAGGCTTGGATGCAAACAAATAGTTTGGGAATGTGGTCCCTTAGACAACTTGTAAGGGAAGTATTGAACCTCACAAGGGAGCTGGGTGCACATGCTAAATGGACTAGGAGGTCAGCAAATGCTTTAGCTGACACTCTAGCAAAGCAAGGAGTTAAACGGGAGTCTTTGTGTTGGGCTGTTTTGTAATTTGTCTATATGATGAGGGGTCACCTTATGTCTCTGTTGGTGACCGTTGTATTTTTTCTCATATTAAGCTAATGAAAGTTATCGTTTCCTATAAAAAATGGATAGGTTGAGAAGAAGATAGATCCTGGGAGCATAATCGATAAAGAAGTTCAAGTTGGTAAAAAGCTGTGTTTATTCTTTTTAGTTTCTGAAGAGTTTGTAAAAGAAGCTTTTCTGGAGTTTGAAGAAAGGGACTATATGATGTTGATGAATTCCTTTATGATAATGAATATGGAGCTGGGATAGGGCTGGATTGAATATTGGGAGTTGGAGAGGTGATTGTAGATCGTAAGGGAATGGCTTGTAGTTTTTGTTAGGGGTGGATGTGGGTGGGTGGTGTTTGGAGTAAATATTTATTGGTTTGGAGTTGGGTGAGTTTGAGTCTTTTGGTTTATTGAGGTGGTGTGTAGTGGGGAGGGAAGAAGGCTTTGTTTTAATTTATTTTGGGTTTGTGGTCATATCTGATCACCTCTCCTCTTGTGCTTAGCTTATTTCTTTTAATAATTATTTTTTGGTAATAAATAAAAATAATCTTGAAAGAGAAAGAGATACGAAAAAGGATGATAAGATATCACCCACAAAGAAGGGAGAAAAAACTCAAAACCCAAACACCATAACCCTCCAAGCCCCTCAAAATACAAAACTTTTTTCTTTTCTTTTAATAATCATTTTCCTTACTATAAAAAAGAAGCCATTATAGAAACGGATCAAGGACTTGGCAACTTGCTTATGATGTCATAATGTATCTTTTGTAAAGGATGCTTTTTTGGGGTTTCTCTTCCTCTGTTGAAAATTATATGAGCTTCAATTCCCTTCTTCTCTTTTGATGATATAATTGCCCTAAATTTTGAACCAATGAAAAAAAAGTTCTAAATTTTCTTCTGCCAAGATAGAAAATCTTGACATTCACATGTTGACAATTATTAGGGGCTATTTGATAATGAATTCATAAGGGGCCATTGCTTGGTGTAATGGTCAAAGGTCAGGATCGTATCCGGTGTGCCCCTCCCCAGACCCCAGATAGCTAGGACCAACATTGGGTAATGACCTTTTTATTTGATAATGGTTGGATTGTTTTAAGTTTTAACTGAATGACTTTTGCCTTTTCCTTAGTGGATAAAGTACTCATATAATAAAATAATTATGTTATAATAATCAACCAAATATGTCATTCAACCATTAAGTAGATTGCAACTTACTGCTTATAAAAAAAAGTAGACTGCAACTGACTTAATGAATAATACATTGAAGAGCAAAGCGATAGGCCATTCAGTTTAGCTGCTTAAGATATTACCAAATTGCCACTTTGACTATTAGATTGCTTCAGCCTATCTAATTTAATTTGAGTTGGATTTCCACCTAAATGGAAACTGTCGATGTGCCATTGCCTTATTATATAGTTCCAGATATTGTTAGAATTTTAAGCTTACCTCCTTGTGAGGTTAAAAATTCTGTCACCCTTCTGCAATCTCCCTGCCCCCCTCTTTATCTTGCAAAAGGCACTAAGTATTCTAGTAACAAGTGAAAAATGATATGTAGATGTCAGAATGTGGAATGCAGATAAAAAATGGAACCTACCACTAAATGGTGATATAGTTTTGATGGGACTAGATCTAAAGAGGGGAGGGCAATGGCAGGATGTATAGAGTAAGATGGAATCTGGAATCACATCTATCAATGTGGTTGAGGCCTAGGCAGCAGGAGAGGCCCTCAAATTAGCTATTCAGAGTGGAGTGGCAAAGGTTATAACTTATAATAATAGAAGGATATTAAAGATATAGTAATTTATAGTTTAAAAGAAAGGATTAATGCCCCATGGAACGTAAGTAACCTGATCAAGGATGGTCATGACATGGCTATCCAGAATGTACAAATTGAATACATACTTTACAGGAAAGCAAATCAAGAAAAAACTTACGGGGGAGGGCTACCCCTGTTCTTTGGTGTTTCGTAACAAAAAAATTATATAAAACCAAGGTTTAAAAAATTGCAATGTATCGTTCTGTATCGGCCGATACGTGTTATTCCACTTATATCCCAATACATGGAATGCTACAAATCCAGTAGTTTCGTTCCTTCTTGTCTGTATTGGATTGATATGGACCCGTATCAGGTTGTTTCGGGTCTGTATTGACTGATACAGGACCGATATGGACCGATATTTTGAATGTTCAGCCAATACATATTGTAATATTAGAGTATCTCTCTCTCTCTCTCATGAATAAGCCTATCTAATAATCCTTTGTCTCTCTAATAACTCTTACATTTTAGGAAACTTGCCTAAATAACTTCTAATCCCTTATATTATTACTTCTCTCTTAATTAATTACTACATTTAAGACAATATTCAAATTCAAATTTTAATTTGACCCGCCATTAAAGCAATAAATTTGAAGTTAACTTGTCATTAAACCAACCTATTTAAAACTACAAATAAGAGAGGTAAGGAGAATTGAGCCCTGATAATTTGATTGTAATAAACATAAATAAACCACTATGCCATATTCAATTGTTGATTATAATTGTATACATTGGCTACAAACTGTGGAACCGTTTAAAAGTTTCTCCTTTGATGACATTTGGAGGAATTGGCTTTCAGTAGCTTCTAGTTCAGTACAAAAGGCTAAAACACGACTGAGTTGGACACCACCCACGGAAAGCTTCATGAAACTAAACTTTGACGGGAGTAGTTGAGGCAACCCGGGACTATCTGGAATTGGAGGAACCATTAGAGACAAGGATGGGAAGCTGAGAGCACTATACTCAGGACTGATGGGAAATGGAGACTGTTTAAGGGCTGAACTATATGCAGTCCTACAAGGTGTACAGATTGCAAGAGAGATAGGGGTGGAGTGCTTGGTTATAGAAATGCCTTTTAAAATTGTGCACATTTTAAAATTGTGCACATTGGCTACAAACTCTGAAAATTAGTGCACATTTTTCTTCTTCCATTATCTTTAATAATTACCAATTTGTATATCTCACATTTTATATAAACTATCGAGCGAGGTATGGGTTTGTATGTTTAAATGACTTCTTTTCTTTATAAGTGTTTAAATAACTTATTTAAGGTCATATAAAAGTTATATTTATTGTTATTAATGTATTCTTTAAGATTTATATAAGTTTCCTATTGTATCCATGTGTATCTTGATTTTTTGTATGTATCCATGCGTATCCAATGCATATCCCAAAACGTCTTTTAAAATTGTCTTTCCGATACACCTTACGTTTCCGATACTTTGGACCTTGTATAAAACCCATATCGGAAGGAAGAAAAGGAAAAAGAGAAAATCTTTTCTGGGCATTGTAATTAATACATGTTTTATTGGCTTTCCTTTATTAGCTGTTAAATGTGCTGTATGCATTCTTGTCAGGCTTGGGATTGTATTGAAAGAATTCTTTCAATTATCTAAATTATTCTGCTGGAGTTTCAGGATGCTATGGAAAAAGCAATTAAGAACAAAGTTGCCAAAGCAGTTGTGCCAGCCATTGATGTCATGTTTCAAGCCCTCAGGTTTGCCATGAGAAGATTTTAATGGTACTGTACAATTACGTGTTTCCTTGTAATATATGAACTATTCTTTCATCTTATTTGTAGTGAATTTGGGGCAAAGGTTGTGCCTCCAAAAAGAATTCTTAAGATGCTTCCTGAACTTTTTGACCACCAAGACCAAAATGTCCGTGCTTGCTCCAAAGGGTTAACACTTGAGCTTTGTCGTTGGATTGGAAAAGATCCAGTAAAATCAATTTTGTTTGAGAAAATGCGGGATACAATGGTGAGAATAATATCAGTTTTTAGTTTTCAATTTTTTGATTAGCTGAAACAATTTCAATTTATGTGTTTTACCCATATTCTAGCGACTAATGTTCTTGTCCTATGGTGTTTAGAAAAAAGAGCTTGAGGCAGAACTTGTCAATGTCACAGGGGCAGCTAGGCCAACACGCAAAATAAGGCAGGGCACCACATTTCCAAACTGTTTTTTTTTTTTTTTTCCTGTTGTAATATTATGCTTGTATCTCTCAAAAGAAAAAGGTTTTGAAATATTAGTCAGTGGCATGATGACTAGGTTTTAATGAATTACTTGTACCAAGTTTGTCCCATCTCTAGTCTGTGCATATGCAGTTTTGTTTTTTGTACTTGTATGTCTTCTATTTTCTTACTGTCTGGTATATTTGAGTTGGTTTCATGCATTTTATGGATTTCTAAGAGCTTTCCATTTCATCTATGTCTAAATTTCTTACCTCATTGTAGTGGAGCTTCACATAAGCACATAGGCGGGAAGTTCATCTTTGTTGTTTATTTCGTTTAACATTATGCTAGTCTCTTATCAGATCTGAACAAGACAAGGAGCCAGAGCAGGAAGTTGCCTCTGAAGCTACAGGCCCTGGCCCCTCTGAAGAATCCACTGCTGATGGTAAGGAGTCAAATATATGGAGTCCACTAATTTCATTAAATGGTGTTTATAATATAATGTGAATTATCTTTATCAGAAGAAATCAATAAGACGTTGCAGGCCTATATTTTTTATAAGTGTTACAAGCCTATAATTTACTTCATACCCTACATGTATCCTGACATAGATCTTAATTGCCAGGTCCTCAGGAAATAGATGAGTATGAACTTGTTGATCCGGTTGATATTTTGACTCCTTTGGAGAAGTTAGGGTTTTGGGATGGAGTGGTCAGTGTTACCTCTTTCATGCCATTTAATGCATCCTTCAATTTTATAAGTTACTTTGGTTCATATTATATTTATTGATCTTTACAATTGCATGAACCTTTCTTTTTGTGATTTTAGAAAGCTGCCAAATGGTCTGAGAGGAAGGAAGCTGTTGCCGAACTAACAAAGCTTGCTTCAACAAAGAAGATAGCTCCTGGTGATTTCACTGAAGTCTGTCGGACACTGAAGAAGGTCTTCTGATTTTTCTCTTTGTTGTTGTTGTTGCAATTAAACTTACATTTCCAATAAATTCACCATTTGTAAAATCTCAACATATTTTACCTTTTCCTTATTTGTGCTTCATGTATATCAGTGTATGTTTTACTGATTCCTGTTTTGTATTTACTTGCAATATTCATTCTTTTGTGATAAAAAAGAATGTTTCTTTTCCCATAGGGGGTGGATGAATAGACCGAACAAAACCTCAAAGAGCTACAAACACAAAGAAATAGAAGCAAGAGCCACAAAAGAATACAAAAAAGATATCCCCTGGGAAGGTGTTTGGAACCCCAAAACAAGCAGCTCTTCTCAACTCCACTCCACTCCTAATTATAGTATCTGCAGAGTGTTAGTCATCCTAGAAATCCACTCAAATTGTTATATTGATTAATGTTCCTGAAAATAGCTTGTTCATTATTTTTAATTCTTATGCAATTGGTTCGTCTCCTTTGCTTCTTAGTTGTATGCTGCTTGTATAAGTTACATGTCCAAAAAATGTCCCACCAGGGGAGACATTTTTAATTTCTCTGTAGTTTTTTAAAAAGTCTCACTGTTTCATGCACAATCTCCTTGAATCTTACATTGATTATATGGATATCTTTGTTGCTCAATTTTTGTATTTTCTAAAATCTTATGCTGGATTCAGGTAGGTGTGTTAGGCATGTAACTTGGTTGGGTCTTTGTTGAATGGTCATTTAGTCATACATCCTTCATACCATTGTCTGGGTTTCATGGTGGTGGTTGCTTCTGTTGTATTTTGAAATGTTAAGCTTATATTTATTTGTCTGATGCATGTTTTGTTGTTTAATTCTTGAATTTTGATTTCCATGTTTGGACCATGTTTTTTTATTTTCCATCTATTAATTGCTCATATAGTCCATTAAGTGGGTAAGGCCTTTACTTGCAGCTTATTACGGATGTGAATATTGCTGTTGCTGTTGAAGCCATCCAAGCTATTGGGAATCTTGCCAAGGGTCTGAGGAATAATTTCTCTGGGAACTCGCGCTTTCTGTTGCCAGTTTTGCTTGTAAGTCTACTGAAGCATATATGGAAACTTATGATTCTTGGATTTTTTCTGACATCTTGATGTTCCTTGTGCCATTAGTTTTTTTTTGAAGGATAAGCAAAAAAGGATTTCATTAACGAAAAAACAAGGTTTTCCTTATCAGACTTTATTGGGATTTGGGATAACAATATGGAACTAGATATTTGCCAAACCGTGTTCTACCTAATGCCATGGGTCAATTTTGTCCTACCTCTTCCTTTCTTTGACTCAGCAGCAACTTTTTTAGGGGGTAAAGAAAAGACATGTTTGAACCATGATGAAGTTTTTTCATTTTTTCTGTAGTACTAGGTGCCTGTTTGGGAGGGCTTTGACATGATGGCTTTTGGCTTTGTGAGGTAGGCCCCACTCTGACAGCTTATAAGCAAGTTTGGTGTAAATTCCAGAAAGCCCAAAATTTTCTGTCCTTCAGCCAAATAAGGGACTTCCCATTGAAGTTTCTGTTAATAGCTTCTCCGAAGCAGCTCAACCAAAGCTATGGCCCTCCCAAATGGGACCTAAAAATATGTTTTGACAATATTGCTTCTATGTAGATAATTTTTCTATCATGGGAGTCATGACTGTCTTGTTTATATCTTAATTTTCATACAATGTTTATATATTTGGATTTACTTAATATTTTCCTAGTTTTTAATATTCTTGTATTTCTTATTTTTAAGATATTTTCTTTTCCTTCTGGAATTAATTATTGTGATTGCTAATTGATCTACTGGTTCATTGGTTTAAAAATGCACATTTGTTTCTTGAATAGGAAAAATTGAAGGAGAAGAAACCAACTCTTACCGATTCACTTACTCAAACACTCCAAGCAATGCACAAGTCTGGGTGCCTAACTCTTGCTGATGTTATAGAAGGCAAGTTTTCCCTTATTAGAGTTCAGAATAAAGCTTGAAATTAGCATATATGTTTTTCTTAGTGACAAATTTTGTCATTATTAATTAACTGCTACAAACTATGTGGTTTTGCTTTGTATGTGGCTTTGGCATGGTACATTAAGCGCCATGTACTTATTATGGATTGAATAGAAGTACTAATGAGAATACTTGCTGTCACAGATGTTAGAACAGCAGTGAAAAATAAGGTTCCTCTTGTGCGTTCTTCAACATTAAACTGGGTCACATTCTGTATAGAAACAAGCAATAAGGCTACTATTCTGAAGCTGCATAAGGATTATGTTCCCATTTGTATGGAGGTCAGTGAATACCCTGACCTTTATGGATTAAGGATTATGTGTATATATTAGCTGAAATATCTGCTAATATTTTCTTTGCATATTTTATTTTGATTTTAATGCTTTACGGTGGTATTATTATGGATAATATGTGTGTAAGCTGAAGAATCTACAACTATTGTGTGTGTGTGTGTTTGTTAATTTTGAATCTAGTGCTTAACACTGGTAGCATTTTGGATCATGTAGTGCCTGAATGATGGAACACCAGAAGTGAGGGATGCAGCATTTTCTGCTTTGGCAGCAATTGCAAAGGTAGTCCATCTATCAGATGAATTATGTTACCATTTTTTTACACTCAGAAGTAATTCAACTTATATTGTTTTTGAGAAAAGAATCCTTCAACCGTTATTCAGTATAATTGCATCCTTTTTTTTTGACAAAGATAACTGTAAATATATCCTTTTTGTTTTTTTTTTGTATAGTTGGTTGGTATGAGGCCTCTAGAGAGATCACTGGAGAAACTTGACGAGGTGAGGAAAAAGAAGCTTTCTGATATGATTGGGGGTCCTGGAGGTAGCACGCTTCCTAGTACAGGTTCAGGTCTGAATATATTTTTATCATGTCATATTGTGTGGTTTTGATTTATTCTTTCTTTTAGTCATTTGCCCTTCAAATTTTCACCTTTTAGCATCTTAGCTGTCTTACATGTTTATTTTGTGATCCAGCTCCAGCACCAGCATCAAATGGAAGTATTTCAGGATCTATGGTATGTTTTCTTTTTTCCTTTCCGTTTTTAATTTCATTTTCTATTCTACTTTTCATGGACTTTTACTTGTCTGAATGAAAAGTGGTATGATTTTATAGTTTGATTCTTGTCTCATCTGCATGTTTCTCCATTTTTTTTCCTTTTTTTTTCCATTGTTTATAGTTCACATAGATCCTATGATACCTGGATACTTGTACATGCCTAGCGTACAGATGTCAGATACGATACTGGATGCTGCATGAATACTTGTAGATGTATTCCATAGCATTAAAACTTTTTTAATATGTAAAATGGCCTAAATTAAGAAATTATACTGTAAAAATTTCTGCACATGTTAAAAGTTTAGTTAAATTTGACAAGATTAAGTCTCGAGAAATGACATTACCTAGGATATAAGCATATTACATTAGAAGTTAATCTGCGGTGGGTGAAAAGAAGTGCTAATTCTTTTGCTGACGCTTTGGAAAAACAAGGGGTGGGAAGGGATCAACTTTTCTGGGCTAGTGTAATCAGTTTTCATCTTGTAGAAGTTAAGAGAGTTTACCTCTCTCCGTGATGTTGCTTTGTACCTCTTATTTTTTTTTTGTTTTAAAGAAATTTTTGTTATCAATAAAAAAATGCAAGCACATTACATAGATGGTCATATCCCTATTTCCTGTATCTGTGTCCCCATGTTTATAACTTTACTTCTGTAAGTTAGTGTGATAAGTTGGATCCTGTAATCAGGTAGACGTAGACCTGATTCCTTGGAAGTTCTAACGCTTTAACTGCAAGATGATATTTTATTCTTGAAAAGACGAGTCTTGGCAAAGCACTACCTGTTGATGGAAGGATTACAAAAGTTGAGGGGTTTGAGTATTAGAAAGCTGATTATTGAAGGAGATTCCAAGCTGGTGGAGGGATGGCTGAAAAAAGAGTAGGTGGGGGCTTTGGAACTGCATCAATAAAAGAAGGAAATCCAAATGGCTAACACAGGACATAGAAGTAAGATTGCAATGGGTTAAAAGAAGTGTAAATTCTTCTGGTGATGTTTTAGCAAAACAAGGAGTGGGTAGAGAACATATGTTTTGGGCTTAGTTGTAACTAACTGGCAGTAGGTTTCAGTGGGAGGGTTAAGAGAGCTTATCTTTCTCAATTCCTTGTTCATTGTACTTTTTTTTTGATAATTTAATAAAACTTTACATTTATTGATAAAAAAGCACCACTTGTTGATGCTTCTTTCAAGGGAGTGCAAAATGTTAGACAGAAGTTTAGGTCCCATACTGACTTGTTGAGACTACTTGAGAAAAATGTAGGACTACTTAGATTTGTTGTATCCTATTGTCCTATAATACTCCCCTTTAGCAACACTCCTTAATCAATTTCCCCTTTGCCCACCAGCTCTAATTTTATGGGTCACTTCAATGGAGCCAATTTGTATCAAATGTCATTGCTTCTTATTAAGGGGAATTTATTGAATAATCAAGACAAAGGAGAGATCTAAGTTGTTGCATTTTGTTATGAGTTTCTATTTTTCAATTTTATGAATTTCTTATTGAACAATTTAATGATTTATATTAGAGTAAAAAGAAAGGAGGGTTGGGGTAAGTTGGCTTCTGGAATAAAAGTTTGTAGCTAATCCAATATGAATTTGGTATGCCATTGTTAACATTTTTTAATAATGTTTTTGAGTGTAAAATAGGATTACAATTATTGATTGATATTGCAGCTTGATAGATATCTTTTGGTACATCTGCCTGTTAGTCTTCAACTAGTTAGAAACTTAGAATAGACATTTTATCCTGTTTAAAATGCTCGGTTTTAGAAACTTAGAATAAACTTTGGATGATTTGGAAATGGTATAGCACTGGTGGAATCTATTCATTTGGGCTTCTTTAGATTTACAGCATTGATGTAGTTTTCAGTTAAGTTCTTCAAACATTTAGGATTTGGGCAACTAGAAATTTCATTTCTGTAGTTGTACCAATACTGATTATTGAAGATTTTCATTGATGTATCTGTTTGCAGGCTGTAGAGAGCTCTTTTGCCAGGAAATCAGCAGCAAGCATGCTTAGTGGGAAGAAGCTTGTCCAGGCAACTGTGAGCACTGCATTTCATTTATTTTTGTCAACTCCATTTTCTTTAATTTGAATTATATCATTTTATAGGTGTTTTGATACTATTCTGTTTTATTTGTTCATGGATTGTTATCTCAGCTGGCTAGTAAGAAAAGTGGGTCAGTGAAACCTAGTGTTAACAAAAAAGGTGATGCAGTTGGACAATCAAAGACTATGGGATCAGTTGCACCTGAGGATATTGAGGTAAATTATTCATTAGTTGGACTGGTTTTCTTTTGATATCTGGTCAGTGTCTGTGCTACTTATTTATATCACACAAATTTGTCCTGGTTGTTTTGTGCTCTCAGCCTGCAGAGATGAGTCTTGAAGAGATAGAAAGCAGATTAGGTTCCCTTATACAAGCAGATACTATTTCCCAACTCAAGAGTGGTGTATGGAAAGAACGTCTTGAAGGTTCCAGATCTATTCTTTGGCTGCTACTAGTTTTAGGTTGAGCCTGTGTTGTTTGATTGCTATTATCAGTTTTTGTGTTGGTGTTTTAGCTTCGTCATTTCTTTCATATGCAAATATAGTCAAAACTTATTTGAAATGAACCTTAATGAAAATCACAATTTCTATTTGTCCGTAGAAACTAATTCCACTGCATCGGTTCATAATGCATCCAATTGAACCACGGACATATTAATTAACCATGGTAGTGTTGATTGTGTTCCTTCATTTATTGCCTATTATATATCAACATTACAAAGCAACCCAGTACAGATGCTCCCTATTGATCCCTTGTTTAGCAAGATGATCAGCCAAGGCGTTTGCTGATCTTCCACCCATTGTAAGCTAACATTCCATATTGAAGCAAAGTTTGGGTCCAGGATTCCGTTTTGAGCACTGCATCTTACAGTTGCTCTGCTTGGAAGGGGATAGGAAAAACTTCCAAGTTTCAATCTATTTAGCATAAAATTCTATCCGGAGTAGGAGATGGCATGAGATTTCGTTTTCTGGAAGATGGTTGGTGTGATGGCTCATTGGCCAAAGAAATCTTCCCAAATCTATTTATGACAAAGATGAAAAAGTGGCCCAGCTGTATGTGTCAGTAAACAACCATTTTTTTGATAATAAAAAGAAATATATTAAAAAAAGAATACAAGAGAGAGAGGTGACAAGCAGTCACCCACAAGAAGGAAAAGAAAGACCTGAGAACTAACAAGACTACAAAAACCTCCTCCCAAATCACACCCAACCACCTCACCAGACCCCCACAACTACAGATAATCATCAACCAACTAATTGAGACAGACAAAAAGACATATGCCTTCATTAATCCTCCCCCTCAAACACTTCATCTCTCGCATCACCTGTTTCGTTCCAGTACTCTCATTCCTTTTCGAGTTCTCCTCCCTCCTCTCGAACTCCTCAATGGATCTTCTAGCAAAAGCCTGACCTCCCAAGAACAAACCAGGGCTTTTTCCAACCTCAATTTTTCTCAGAAATTTTTCAATAGACAAATCACCTTCCTTCTCCATTTTTTCTTCTAGACTTCCACTGTCTATTCTTGAATCAGCTACTTCCCCTTCCCCAATTTTCTTCCTTTCCTTCTGCACGTTTTCCAGCTGCCTATCTGAGTTAGTGGGGATGATGGGATCTCCCCTTCCAGAACAATCTGAAGCTGAAGCTTTTGCCTTCATCCTGCTTCTCTTATAAAGTTATTTTTTTTTTGTGGGACCTGCACCAACCAGGCTGAGCTTCAATCAAGAAAACACTTTAATAACGTGGACAGTGTTCTTGATGAAGCTTCAAATCCAGCAGCCAAGTGCTGGAAGGGCGCAGACCAGCTTGTGTGGAAGTGGGAGAATTTGGGCATTTTTTATAGATAATTTGAAATTTTATTAAGAATGAATAAATTAATGATTTTTTTTATCAATATGAATAAAGAAATGATTATGTACAATATGCCCAACATCTCTTCTACAAGTAAGCTAGCTGCAGCCACTTATCCTCAATTCTTGTTTTTTACATTCTTTCTATATTTAGAGAGCCCCAAAACAACTGGTTTTATTTACTTCTTGTTTGGCTAGGCCCTAGGATATTTGTCAAGCCTTGATACTGCCATTTTTCTTGCCCTTTTCTTTTAGCCAACCTACCACTATCCCTAAATCACCTTCTAATTCCAGTTCCATTTTGCTGTAATTTAAAGATCTTGCCTGTATTGAACCTTGCAAAGCTGCAAGCAGTTCAGTGCTTATGGAGTTTCCTGTGCCTATAGGTTCAGAAAACATTTTTAAAGTAGTTCCACACTCTTCTCTGAAAACTCCCCCAATGCTTGAAGGGCCTGTGTTGCTCATGCTTCACTCATCAAAGCTTAATTTTATTACTGCAGGATGTGTGCCATGGCACTAAATCTTGTACTGTGGCTGAAAATGAAATGCCACCACATGCCATCCTCTAAGTACATCATATACTGAAAAGTGATTAAAAGTGTCCAATGACAAATGCATCACCTTTACTGATACAGATTCTATTATTCTCTGTTGTTTTTTCTTTCCCTTTGAATTTTATTTTGTTACTCTCTTCCCATATGATCTACAAGACTAAAATTCTAGTATGCCTCAACATTATCTTCCCTCTCTTCATTGTAGATTTGAACAGGCTCTCCATATCAGATGGACTACACCTGCAACCATAAAGAGAGGAAAACTATTCCTAAATACTAGTGACAAATAGGTCAGGGGTTAACTGAGAACTCAGGCACATTTATGGCAAGATCTTTTTTTAGGTACTTGACACCTTTACAAAACATACCAACTTTCTTTGCAAGGAAGATTGGAATACACTGGCACCATAAAAGGTTTTTCTTCCCTGCCGTGGGATCAGAAAATCAGGAGATTATCTTACACAGGAGAAATTGGTAGAGAGAAGAATGGAAATTCAATCGCCGGGCTGCTATTTCTGTAATCATGGACTGTAAATTACTGATCACAAATCCATCCACTGCCTGTATAGTAGGAAAATCTAGAACTATTTCCTAAAAAAGCTATTAACTTCATCTGGTGTTTCCCAAGGACTGCTGGAACAAGGATGGTATGTGAAAGGGCTGCAAAAGAGATGAAAAGTTACTTCAAACACCACTCATGCAGCTGTTATCTGAGACTATATAGCTGGAACATAACTCCAGGATCTTCAATAATAATGCTTTACAGGATGATGAACCATTTAGCAAAGCTGTATCTTTTGTGATTTTTTTCTTTGAGTGTATGTGTGTGTAGAGACTTGTAGGTGAGTGGGTTAACAATGGATATGGCACTAAAGAGATGGGAAGGGAAACAAGATTCATGTAGCTAACCCCATACATTTGTGGGGACAGGGCTTAGATGATGATGACGATGACCCGGATATAAGTGGGCTCATTATGATTTCTCGAGACCTATATGTGCTTAGTTACTGGTATCCATCTGATATGTCTAGATGTAGTCTATAGCATTACACTTCTAAAATATTTAAAGTGGTATGTTTTATAAATATTTGCAGATTAGATATTTAATTAAATTTGGAAAGATGTAAGTCTTGAGAAATGACATTTAGCATCAAAATGTAGATATAAACACATAATATAAGCATGTTACATGGATATACATACCTGTATCTGTTTCCAGAATTATAGGAAATGTTGAGTTGTATCCCTGTTCCCCTAATGGCTTATTTGTATCTGTATCTGGGCATTGTAGGGTCCACGACTATTGTCTTGTATTGGTGGGTAAGTAGTTAGTGTAGCTTGCCTTGGTAGTCTTGCTGTTGTGGTGCACAGTCTCTGACTCTCTATTGTAGTTTTGCTGTTTTATTTCAATAGATTACCTTTTTCAAGAAAAACTCTCGTGATAACTATTCACCCATAGCTATGTTGGACATATTGGTGGAGGGATTTGGAACCAAGCCTGCAGTTTGGAAGGGTACTAACTATAAGTAATAAATGAAATGGAAGTGGAACTAATGGAATTAAAATGAAATGATTTTTTTATTTATATGACTTTTTCAGTGTCAACTAACCTTTGTTATGCACTAAGGTTTTTGATCTTCAGTTTACTTATTGAGTTAAAAGTGCATTTTAATTTACCTTGAAAAGCAAAAGTTGTCTTTTGTTCTTTACATAAATGATTCAAATTTTCTTTTGAAAGTGAATTTATTCTTATCATACTAAGAAATGTTTGTGCTGGGTTTACCTATCTGAGTGAATAGAAAAAGTTTAGTACTAGATGTGGCGTTGTTATACCATGCTGAGCTGTGTTGGAAACATAATTGTGTTATTCTTTTGTGACTGTAACCATGGTACATAAATTGAATATTGTTGCAGCAATTGTTTCATTAAAAGAGCAGATTGAAGGCCTTCAAGACATTGATCAGTCTACTGAACTTTTGATCCGTCTAGTTTGTGCTGTTCCTGGGTGGGGAGAGAAAAATGTTCAGGTACTTGAAGAAGTTCCATTTTTGTGTCTTCTTTCATTGATGGTTATTGTTTTTTCCCTATGATCAAAACTTTTGATCCTTTTGTTCAGGTACTTGGTGAAGTTCCATTTATGCTTTTATTAGGTCATTCATATTTCTTGTGTCTTCTTTCACTGATGGTTATTGTTTTTTCCCTATGATCAAAACTTTTGATCCTTTTGTTCAGGTACTCGATGAAGTTCCGTTTATGTTTTTATTAAGTCATTCATATTTTTCTTGGATGGATGCAGGTCCAGCAACAAGTTATTGAAGTCATTAATCATGTAGCTGCAACAGCAAAGAAATTTCCTAAAAAATGTGTTGTACTTTGCCTTCCTGGTAAGTGTCAATTGTCAAATTCACAAGAGAGTTGCACTTTTTTTATCATTCAAATTTACCTAAGGTTCCCTTTTTGTAAGACAATACAAATTTGATACGTGCTAATTAATCTATGGCAAGGTATGCCAGTTGGTTGGGTTAAGTGACCTGACCCTATCTGGTTAGGGTTGGGTCAGCTTTAATTAGCTTGCAGGTCAGGTTTGGATTGAGGTAGGCTTGTGCCAAACCCAACCTGTTGACATTGCAGTGTTACAACATTTGTATAGCCTTGGTTATGTATGTGTGCTTTATATGGGATGGATAGGGTTGGGTTTAGCATCCCATTTTTGTTTAGTAGGGTTGGGTTGGAATTACTTTGTGTTGGGTTTGATTTGGATCAAATCTGTGCTGAATCTGACCTGTTGACATCACTGTCCAGAAGAAAATTGTTTCTGACCAAAGTCGTTCAATCACTTACAGCTTATTGAATTATCTAAAACTGGCAAGTTGTTGGTTTTGTCATAGCACTATGGAATAAACTGTTAGCTTGGTTACTTTTGATCTATAGCAGTTATTTTTATATTTGAGTAGTAAGTGGTATTCTATTCTTATATTATGGCATAATAGCTGATACCAATGGTTGTGTAAATATGCCTAACTTAAGCTTGGTTACTTATGATCTATATCTGTTATTTTTATATTCTTGATTAGCAAGTTGTCTTTTATTTTTACTGTATAGCATATTGCTGATTCCAATGGTTGTGCAAATATGCCTAACTTACAGGTCTAAGCGAACGTGTAGCAGATATTAAAACCCGTACTCAGGCCATGAAATGCCTTACTACCTTCTCTGAGGCAGTTGGTCCTGGCTTTATCTTCGAAAGAGTAAGTGTAGTTGGCTTCCTATTGTAATTGTTAGACATATACATATCTGTGACCTTGAATGTGAAAATGATGCTCATTGCTTCTTTTAACTATGATATCTGGATTTTTATTCCTATTAGTGATAACCTTGAAGTTTCCTTGTTTAGCTTTATAAAATTATGAAAGAGCACAAAAACCCCAAGGTTCTTAGTGAGGGAGTTTCATGGATGTTTTCTGCAGTAGAGGATTTTGGCATTTCACATGTAAAATTGAAGGTGCTTTCAGTTTCTCCGATACCCAAATTTGCATTTTTATTTGTTTTAGCTTATCTTTTTCCTTTTCACAACTCTTGGTTATATTCAGTAGTAGTCTTATTGTCTCTTGTTGTGAACATGAAAACATTTTATTTTATTTTACAGGATTTAATTGATTTCTGCAAAGAGACTGGTCTGCAATCCAGTGCTGCTGCCACTAGAAACGCAACAATCAAACTAATTGGAGCATTGCACAAGTTTGTTGGTCCAGGTGCTTACTTCTGTTTTCCTTTTATTTTATTTTGTTTCTTTTGATGGTCTTAATTTCCTGGGGGTTTAAGGTTTCTCTTTTTCTGCAGATATTAAAGGATTTCTTTCAGATGTCAAGCCTGCACTTCTAAGTGCACTTGATGCAGAGTACGAGAAAAATCCATTTGAGGTATATTGGTTCTATGCAATAACTTTGTCTGGTATATTCTTTTATGCTATTTGTTTATACTTAGTATCGCCTATTTGGTTTCCCACAGGGTGTGTCAGCAGCGGTAAAGAAAACTGTAAAGGCATCCGAGTCCACCTTATCTATGTCTTCTGTTGGTTTGGATGGCTTGCCACGTGAAGATATTAGTGCAAAGATCACACCTACTCTGCTAAAGAACTTGGGTAGTCCTGATTGGAAGGTCTGTATGGTTGTATTTATATTTCTTCTTTTTTGTCTTTACATTCTCCTTTTTTGTTGCACATGTGTGCTGATGTAAGTTTCAGTTATCTGAGTTACCTATCAAAAGTGGAAAGTTTTCTGAGCAAGATTGGTTTTCTGATATTACAGATTCGTTTGGAATCTATCGAGTCAGTGAATAAAATTTTAGAGGAAGCCCATAAGCGTATACAACCCACTGGGACTGGTGAGAAAATAGTTGTCTTTGCTTGAGATTCTAAACATAGGGCTTTTAAAGATCTTTCATTTATGTGGTACATATCTGCTTGTTTATATGCCAATCCCATATGGTTTGGTTAGACTTGTTTGCTCCCATGTAGTGCTTGTAACCTGATGCTTTGTTATTGTCTTGTTAGGGGAGTTATTTAATGCTCTTAGAGGCCGTCTATATGATAGCAATAAAAATTTGGTCATGGCAGCCTTGTCTACTGTTGGCTGTATTGCATCAGCTATGGGCCCGGCTGTTGAAAAGTCAAGCAAGGTTATCAGGAACCTCTACATTTTTTTTTTGTTTTGTTATTCTTATTTTATCTGATGTATTGTTTTTGGGGCTTCAACTTTAGTATACCATTTTGGTTCTTGCAGGGGCTTCTGTCAGATGTTTTGAAATGCCTTGGGGACAATAAAAAGCACATGAGAGAATGCACTCTAAATACTCTAGATTCTTGGGTTTCTGCTGTTCAACTTGATAAGATGGTAGCTTTTGACACTTATTTTGATATGCAAAACTTGATTTTTGCATGCCTCTTACTGGGTTTCATGGAAATGCCAATTTTTTTAGGTTCCTTACATTGTGACTGCTTTGTCCGACACCAAACTTGGGGCAGAAGGGCGGAAGGATCTTTTTGATTGGTTAACAAAGCAACTTTCTGGACTGAGTGACTCATCTGATGTTCTACACTTGCTCAAGCCAGCTGCCTCTGCTATGATGGTATCTTTTAAATTTAATATACTATAAATGTTAAGTTCATTGGCAGATTTAGATAGAATATGCAGATCTTTTTTTCCTTGTTTTGTTTAGGACAAATCAGCAGATGTTCGAAAAGCTTCTGAAGCCTGCATGAATGAAATTTTGAGAGTTTGTGGACAAGAGGCAGTATGTGGTCTAGGCATTTTACAAGTCTTCCTTTTTTTGTGCTTTTTGAAATTTAACTGATTTATTTAGCATATAAATGTAATCTATTATCTGATCTTTAATTGTAGGTGACAAAGAATTTAAAGGATTTACGTGGACCAGCATTAGCTCTTGTGCTTGAGCGATTTAAACTGCCCGGGGGGCTCCAAGGTGTATCATCATAATCCTGGGTCGAGTGTTATGTTTCTTATCTTTTTCTTTTGTATCCATTTCTGATGCATTAATCTTGCTTGTTTGGTTCCAGAGTCATTTGACTCAGGGAAAGGACTTTCAACTGGTCTTGCGTCTAAACCTGGCACAAAGATCGGAAAATCTGGTTCAAATGGTTTTGGTGATCGTACATCCAAGCATGGCAATAGAGCCATTTCTTCGGTCTGTTTTAATTGCTTGTAACCTTTTTTTCTCTGGCACTATAGATGGTTGCTGATTGTTTGTATTTGGACAGAGAGTTCCTGCCAAGGGCTCCAGGCTAGAATCAATTTCTCCACAGGATCTTGCTTTCCAGTCACAGGCTTTATTCAATATTAAGGACTCAAATAAGGTAGTTTTTGATGTGGTTTCTTACTTCAGTGCATCCGAATATTATGGGATGCCTCTTACATGGGTCGATACTTGTACAGGAAGATAGGGAGAGAATGGTTGTACGCAGGTTTAAATTTGAAGAGCCACGATTGGAACAGATTCAAGATCTCGAAGTTTGTATTATGTTTTGTTCATAGAGCAATGATTTTGTTTCTTCTTATTCTTGGAATTCACAGATTTTCTCCCAATGTGACTTCTGTTGCAGAATGACTTTATGAAATATTTCAGAGAAGACCTTCATAGGCGGCTTCTGAGCAATGATTTTAAGAAGCAAGTTGATGGTCTTGAGATGTTACATAAGGTTCCTTTCTATTATTCTTAATAAACCATTGTTCTGGTTTGAACTTAGAAGCTTTTATTTAGTCAGATTTTTTCTATTTTTGTACAGGCTCTTCCATCCAGTGGAAAGGAAATAATTGAACTTGTTGATATACTTCTGAGATGGTTTGTGTTACGGTTCTGTGAGTCAAACACAACATGTTTACTGAAGGTAAAATCCTTCTTTTTTAATCCTTTTTATTTTCTGTATTTATGTCTTGTAAGGTGAACATTCAAGTTGACCCTCTCTCTCTCTCCCTCTCTCTCTCTCTCTCTCTCTCTCTCCCTCTCCCCCTTTCCCAGGTCTTGGAGTTTCTCCCAGAACTTTTTGATATGTTGAAAGATGAGGGTTACACTCTGACTGAATCAGAAGCGTCCATATTTCTTCCATGTTTGATAGAGAAGGTCTTTTCTAAATAACTCTATGCTGTAGTGCTTAATCTAGATTTCATGCATCTTTGTTTAACTTATGATGCTTGTTTGAATGTTTGAATACATGTATTGTCGTGGGGCATTATTATTCACATCTGAAAACTGTATTCCTAACATTGATTTTGTGGCTGCAATGTAGTCTGGACATAACATTGAGAAAGTGAGGGAAAAAATGAGGGAGTTGATAAAGCAAATCACTCACACATATTCAGCAACGAAGATTTTTCCTTATATTTTGGAGGGTCTGCGCTCCAAAAACAACCGCACTCGCATAGAATGTGTTGAGTTTGTGGGGTTTTTAATTGATAACCATGGAGCTGAGGTATGAAGCTTATGCTCCCTTTTTATCTTTCCTGATTCCTGACTTGATATGATCCATTGAAGGTATGGTTTCCTGTTTCAACAGATAGGTGGGCAGTTGAAGTCCCTGCAATTTGTGGCTGGTTTAACATCTGAACGAGATGGTGAAATTCGAAAGGCTGCTCTGAATACGTTAGCTACTGCTTATAAGAATCTTGGTATGTTTTGACAATGCAGTGGGTTTTGATTGACTTTTAAATGTCTCATGTCTTTGTAGATGCATAAATGTGCATATGCTTTTTACTGTTTCACATAAATATATATACCCTTATGCTTGTAGGTGAGGATGTATGGAGATTTGTTGGGAAGTTATCAGATGCTCAAAGAAGCATGTTGGATGATAGGTTTAAGTGGAAGGTTGGTATATGCTGGCCACATATGACATCTCTGATAATTTGATAATTTGTATATACACAATTTATGGTATGGTGTATTTTTGTGTAGGCTCGTGAAATGGACAAAAGGAAGGAAGGTAAGCCTGGAGAAGCACGAGCAGCCATGAGGCGTTCTGTTAGGGACAACGGGTATGCACTTTTTGCTAATATCTTTATTATGTGTTTTCATCAGTTGATTGAAACTCTCATCCACACAATTTCTTGCTGTTTCATGCATTCTAGTTTTGTATTTGCTTTTCCTTCTAGAAATGCACTTATATGTGATAGAGATATATGTTTACTAGAGGGAAAATTCCTATGTCAAGCAGGATGTAATAGATTTATTTATCTTCGTGAATCTATTTTCTGTTTACTAAACATGCTATTTTCCTAAGTAACCATTCATTATTGCAATGCCAGTATCTTGGTTGTACATTGACTATTCTTGTTCTGCATCAAACTTTACATGATAAGTGTTATATAGGATCTGGTCATAAATAACCTGATTGTTTTGGTAAATGGTAAAAATATTATACTACTATATTGCAAGAAGGGGGGATAAAGTATAATGTATGGTCTATTTAAAAGCATGGAAATTATAACAACTTCTGAGTTTATTTTGCATCATTTGTATTGCAATTTGCAATGGCTGGTAATCACCAGTTACACTAGGCAAGCTTCTTTTTTCAAATTCAAAATTTCCTTGAATTATTATTTCCTCATATACTAGAACTTGTAAAGCATTCATGAAAGATTGGTATGCCCTGATGTAGGATTGTAGGTCCTGTAGGATCTAGATAGGTTCTAAAGACTAAAGGCTTAGACAAATCACTTGGGGAGATGAATTACATGGAGCTACAAACACATTGGATTGAATCAGATATACTTAGATCTGAATTTGGTTCATCAATTTTTGAATTCAAATTGAATCTTATCCATGGATTTGGGTCAGACTTGGATTGGAGTTGGATATTGAATACCGATAATGATCAAAATATTATATATTTTTAATAAAGTGAATGAAAATAGATTTTGATATTGTATACCGAGAAACAGAAGAATTTTTGAAGACAGTTTCTCCTCTTTGGATAGTATTCGTCAGAAGATCTTATCCTTAATTTTCTCATGGATGCTGATCCACCAGAATTTTTGATGGTGTGAGCATAGGGGAGTTCCAAAGAAACTGGTTGCAGATTCTGCATACTTCCCCTTCCTCTCCAACTTCAACAGCTCTACCTCCCCTGAGGAGGGAGTGTGAGTACCTGTTGCACTTTGATAGCAGCTTTAGGAGGTCACTGCTTCCTCTCTCAGCAGCTGGAATAGGGGGATTGTTAGAAACTCTTTTGGAAACATCTTGTGGGCTTTTAGTGGTCCGGTTCAAGCTGTAGATGCCTCTGAAGCAGAAGTCTGCTTCCTTCTAGAAGGCTTAAGGTTTGCTAAGAGGTTCCATTTCAGTCCCTTAGCAGTAGAAGGAGACTCAAGGATTACCATCAAGAGGGCAGAAGATTCAGATGAGGTATCGTGGAGGATAGCTCACCTTCTTGCTGAAATTCATGAGCTGTCTTCTGTGCTGAACTGCACCTTTAGATGGATGCCTGGGAGATCAATCAAACTGCTGATGTTTTAGCAAAGGAAGGATTGGTTTGAATTTTTTGTATATTGCTAATACATTGCTATCTTAGTTGATCCAGGCCTTTCTTTTTTGTTTTTTTCTGGCTTGTTTGTACATCTATTATGGGCATCCCTCTGCCCTTCTTTTGAATATAAGTTATCTTTCTCTTAAAAAAATATTGTATACCATGAATACAATGATTTGAAATAACTTTTAGTTCTAGGGTTTTGAGATTCTTTTCCATGACTGGATCTACAATCCAAAATGGAAATGAAGAAAACAGCATTGCTGTAGGGAAAAGAACCAGACATAAAGTCATGCTTCTATCTCCTGTTATAACTTACCAAAACTAATTATGGGGGGGCTGTTTGTGATCCCCAACAATGTGTCCCTATTCAAAAGTTCCAAAGTGGCTTTGCAGAGACATCATGTTCTTGTTGGAAACTAGCACCACACTTTTGTTACTTTTGTTTCCTAGACAATCTACAAAGATTTCATTGTACCAAATTCTTAATTTTTAAATTGAAATATTGAAACTCCATTGCCTCCCTTCTGAACCCTGGTAATTTTTTTTTTACATTGTTATTATTGTCAAACTTGTTCTTAACTTTGATTTTTATGTGCATTCTGGTGTATGTTTATGCCATTGTCTTTTGATTGCTCGCCTCAAGTTCTCATTTATAGCACAATGTCCTGTTATCATTTGTCATTAACTCATTGAAGACTTATTCTTTTTTTTTTTAATTTCTTGTCTAATCTTTGCCTCTACTAAGCTATCATGTATTTTGGTTTTATGTTGTCATCTGATTCTATAATGTCTATAATTTTTATTAAATACTGCAACCATGGAGTATGCGGATCATAGGGTTACAATTTGACAATTTGTTATATACAATATACCATTGGTGTTATCCAGCTAATGTATATTTGTTTCTTGGTCTAGGTCTGATGTAGCTGAGCAGAGTGGTGAACTTGCACGTTCTGTGTCTGTCCCAACCTTGGCAAGGTACAGAGACATGGCAGTTCTTAGCTGATAGTTGTATATTGATTTGTACAGTTGGGCTTCTATGAGATTTTTATTTCTATTATATTTCAGAACTTTATGCTAAAATTGTTTGGCTTCAGGGAAGCAATTGGTCATTCCGAGCCTTACATGGACAGGCAACTATTAACTCGATCATTAGCTAGTGCAAATGGCCCAACAGACTGGAATGAAGCTCTGGATATCATTTCGTTTGGTTCTCCTGAACAGGTCTTTGATGTGAAACAACTTGAACTTTTTCATTTTCCATAGTATGAACACTGTTTTTTAAAAAAGTGAACCTTGAGATGTTTTTTCTTATTATAACACAAAATGGAAAATGTGGGCTATATTTCTATCATTCTACCCAAATGCTTTTGTTTATTTGTTGCCTTCATTACCCTGCTAAAATGGGTTTTATTGTCTTGAATATTATCATCAATTCAACAATGTAATTTGTGCTAATTGGAGTTCCTTTCTTGTTGGTCCTTTATTTTTTAATCTCAGATGATTAAGTTATCTTAACAACACAGTGCCAAATATGAGCTATATTCCTATCATTCTATATACTTTTAAGATCAAATGTCTATGTTTAGTCTTTGCCTTTACTACCTTGGTGAAATGGGTTTTATGCTCTTAAATATTTTTATTAATTCAACTATTTGTATTTAGTGTTAAGTAGACTTGTTTGAAAATTGGGGTTTGATTTTAGTTTCTTGTTCTTTTTTTTTTGCTCAGAGGTTTTTTACTTTACGGACAAAGATAATGCTGGCTGTAAGTGGATGGATATTTTTATTTAGGATGAATTTCTTTAAAATAACATAATTGATCTAGTGAATTGTAAAGTTTTTGTCTTTTTCTGTCAATTAATGTCCTAGCCTGTCTTCTTATTCATCTTGGGTTCTTGCCTAACAAGTTCATCTTTGTTGTGATTACCAAGAAATGTTTTCAAAGTCACATGCTTATGCCTTTTTTTATCAGAGTCATGTGTCTTATGCCTTGAGACTCAGTCTGAGGTGAGGCACAAGGCAAATGCCCTCCTGTGGCTTAACTTTGTCGTGCATGCCTAAAAGCATAAGAACATTCTGCACACCTTGTGAAACTTTATGCCAGGCATATGCATTCCATATTATCAAATAAAGTTGGCTCTCATGGCTTAACTTTGTGGTATATGCATTCTTTAAATATTTTGGTGGTTTAACACCAATTCAAGTTTTGCTTTACATTATGAGCTTTCTAATGGTCTTGAAATTTACATTAGAAGCCAATTAATGATGGTAAATTGATCTATAGTTTTGTTTTTGTGCATGATTTAATTCTTCTCCCATTCAAGGTCATATTTCCCCTTTATTTGCTTAAACTCATAATCGTTGTACCCTGCCTCGTAGTTCTGCCTTGTAAAATATTGTTGTTTGGATTTAAGCAGCGTTCCCTCATCTTTTAGATAATTTGCGCACCATACTGACTGAAAGATTCTTTATTCTGGTGCAGTCAGTTGAAGGCATGAAAGTAGTTTGTCATGAGTTGGCCCAGGCCACAAATGATCCTGAAAGCAGCGTGATGGACGATCTTGTCAAGGATGCAGATCGGCTTGTTTCGTGCCTAGCAACTAAGGCAAATTTAATCATGATTTCCTTCTATCTATCTCCCTCTCTTTTCTTTATGGCTCTTTATCTTCTTTAAACCATCAAGTTCTCTTAATAATTTGTACCATATTTCTTGACAGGTAGCCAAAACCTTTGACTTTAGTCTGGCAGGAGCTTCTTCACGATCATGTAAATATGTTTTGAACACACTTATGCAGGTTAGTTTTGAAATCCTTCTATATGTTTTGATTCCTAAAATAGTGATCTGTTATGTTGTGAAAATAATGGATGGTTTTCTCTACAGACCTTTCAAAATAAAAGGCTTGCACATGCTGTGAAGGAGAGTACCCTTGACAGCCTCATCACTGAACTTCTACTTTGGCTATTAGATGAACGGGTTCCACTTATGGATGATGGCAGTCAACTCCTAAAAGCATTAAATGTTTTGATGCTTAAGATTCTGGTCAGTTTTGTCCTACGGTGTTTTTCTTCAATATCTAGGCATCTGTCATACTAACATGTGCCTATAATACAGGACAACGCGGAACGTACGTCTTCTTTTGTTGTTCTGATAAATTTATTGCGTCCACTGGACCCATCAAGATGGCCATCACCTGCATCAAATGAGATATTTGCGGCTAGGAATCAGAAGTTCTCAGATCTAGTTGTCAAGTGTCTCATCAAACTTACCAAAGTAAATCTTTCATGCTTTGAGCTTTTTTTGCAAGATCTGTTCATATTTACCTTTGTCCTTCTTGGAAATTTATGAGATTGGCCTCTATCTTTTTTCAACTTCACCAGAGGCATTTCAAAGTAGGAATATGTTTTGCAACAACATTCACTAAGTCGTAAAAAATATTTTTACAGCTGTAATTGTCATAATCTGGACTGAAAGAAACAGAAGGATCTTCCAAAAGACCTCCAAAAGATTTAGATGAGTTACTGTCTTTCTTTTGGGAAGTTGGTTTCCTGGATTTCAGCAGCAAAAGGGTTCCGTCATCAGAACCTGGCAGTTCTGCTGAGGTCTAGAAGTCTGGGAGTTGCAACTATTAGAGGTGTATTTGGCTGTGCCCGGCCAAGACTGTTCTCTTGTGGGCCTGTTGTAGTCTTTCAGTTTTAATAATATTTACTTTGCCTTTTTCAAAATTTTTTTAGCAGTACTTAAACATTTCTACACTAGGGAAAAATTAATTTGTGCAGTAAGAGGTCTTTTGGTTGGCTTTCTAGAAATCATTATTTTAACCCAAATTTTGTTAATGTTGGAGCTATTCTAAGTGTGTATTTTGGTCTCACATTTAATTTTCACTAAGAAAGACAATCTAAAAAACAACCAAATGTTTGAAAATTAGAGTAAAACTATAATATGCTTTAAGATAGCATTTTTAGAAAGCATATTTTAACCACTTTCTGTTTCTAGTGAGATCCTAAGGTGTTTGTTTCGGTATTGGACTTCCAGATTGATTAATCAATTTCTTTTTTTTTCTGCCTGAATATATAACCCAATTAGAAGCCTGTTCTGTAATTGTAAGAGTGGATTTTCAATAAATAATAGTCCTATTTTTTGAGATTTTGTGTGTTTAGTCCAGATTGGACTAAGTGGCATCCAAGGAGTTCTTAAGCATGGCAGCAGTTTGGTTTGGGATTTGATAATGTTCTTCTGTCTTTCTTATAGTCAGGGCAACTTATCTATTCCACAGGTTTTTAAACACTTTCCAAGTCTTTAAATGCAGTTACCACTGACAGTTACCACATAATACACATTGCAGCACCTGGTAGAAGTGATATGTTACAAGTTAAATGAGCTAGAATAGCTAGGGGCAGACTGAAAAGGACTTAGGTGGAAGTACCAAGAAATGATTTAAGTGCCCCTAATTTAATGATGGATATGGTACTGAACAGAACGAATTGGTGAAATAGGATTCATGTAGCTGACCCGATATACAGGCTTAGATGATGATGACATAGTACACATTAGTGAGACATTGGTGGGGACAGAGCAGGATGCATGTGAGGCCCCACTGGCATACCAATACCATAGAGAACATGAAGTTCTGCAGGTTTGATAATGCACCTCATTTTCCAGAGTGATGCCAAGACTATTGGGCTAGTGAAGCATTAGGCAAGCAAAAAGGTGTAGAAGCACAACAGTTTGTTTCAGTGGTGGAGCCTGAAATTTTCTTTTGGGAGGGCTGATTTATTTGTAGCTGTACTGAATACGTGCTAGGTGGAACATACACCAAAAAACACACATGTTGGGTATTGGGTTTACCTGTTTGCTTTGGGTAGTTTGAAATTGGGTCGACTATAATCTGGTTTCATCATCTACATCTGTTTGCAGAAAAAGGTGGTTTGAAAAATTTAGGCCTGGAATCAGGCCTGACCCTAGGCTATATAGCCCTTATCATAGGTGCAAAGCCCAACCCATCCTATGATCACTCCTCTGGTGATGTGAGAAAGGGAGCTTTATATTTATAAAAGTTTGGGGGGGGGGTGTGCAACTGCCCACCTTGTTATGTGGCTCCACTCTTGGCTCTCCTGTAACTAATGTTTTAAAAAAAGTTTGGGTGGGGGGCAAGGACCCCCAACGGTATAATGTAGCTACACCCTTGGTGTAGCATGAAGGCTAGTGTTCCGACATGGCTACCTGAGTGTGGATGATATAAAGTGCCGATTATGTGAACTTTTTAGTTGGGAAAATGTTCACTATGGTATAGATAAAACGCTATTTCCATGCAGGTCCTTCAGAGCACAATATTTGATGTTGACCTTGATCGAATTCTCCAGAGCATCCATATATATCTACAAGAACTAGGAATGGAAGAAATCAGGAGAAGGTAACTCTCTATGTAGCTTTTAAACTAAAACTTTCCTATTCCTACCATAATGGAAGTTGAGTTTTAACTATTTTCTTGTTCCTATTGCAATATGTTAATGGCCAGAGCTGGAGCCGATGACAAGCCTCTGCGAATGGTTAAAACTGTCCTACATGAACTGGTTAAGCTTCGTGGGACGGCGATAAAGGGGCACCTTTCGATGGTTCCAATAGATACGGAACCTCAACCTATTATACTTGCTTATATTGACCTTAATCTTCAGGTACATTATTATGAGTTAACGATTAGCTTAAACATTGGCCTTATTTGTTTTGGACTGGTCTCCCTACTAAATTCTTTTTCTTTTTGTTGTTTTAAATTTCAAATGTCAGACCCTTGCTGCGGCTAGAATGCTGACCCCATCAGGCCCTGTTGGTCAAACTCATTGGGGTGATTCTACTGCCAACAATCCATCGCCTGCCACACATTCTGCTGATGCCCAGTTGAAGGTTGTATGTTGTTCCAAGTGATTTATATTGTATCTTGTCATGCTTATGGTATCATTTACCAATGTGCCTATTACATGCATTGTTGTTTTTAATGCTAATTAATCTTCTACTGGGAACATTGTCTTGGTGGCACCTTCCAGCAAGAACTAGCTGCAATATTCAAGAAAATTGGTGACAAGCAAACATGCACCATCGGTCTTTATGAACTGTATCGTATTACCCAATTATACCCAAAGGTATACACATTTTGGCAAAAAAAATTCTGCTGGAATTTTGCGTTGGTCAAGGACTTCCTGGGTCGAGGGCAGTCTGTTTATTCAATGATTGTGTCGTCTTGATTAAGTTGTATAATTTCTTCCAGGTTGATATATTTGCTCAACTCCAAAATGCAAGTGAGGCATTCCGTACATACATAAGAGATGGTTTAGCTCAGGTCTGCATGTAAATCCCTTTCTTAAATAACATGTCAAGGGGAAGATACCCAAGGTTTTTAAACTTTATGTATTGGTATTTTTTGTATTGTAGATGGAAAAGAATGCAGCTGCTGGGAGGACGCCTTCAAGTTTGCCAATGTCTACCCCACCTCCTGTTGCTCTTTCTTCCCCAAAATTTGCACCATTATCACCTGTACATACAAATTCTTTGAATGATGCCAAGCCTCTGAATGTGAAACTTGAATCCGCAAACTCCAATCTGCCACCGTCATATTCTGATGATGACAGGGCTGTTAATGCTATTTCCTTGAGAGGTCCGATATCTGATAACTCAGAATTGAGACAAAATATGGCAGATGAAAGGAATGACAGATATTCATCTGCAAGTAATATTCTTCAAACCCCTTAAAGTTTTTCATAAACTGTTGTATTTTTAATTTTTATCCCATAAGAGAGGGTCTGACAGTGGACATGAATGCAGCAACTGCAATAACAAGCGGGACATTGGATGCAATCAGAGAAAGGATGAAGAGTATTCAATTGGCAGCTGCTACAGTGAACCCAGAAGCTGGTAACAGGGCATTAATGTTCATGAATGGCAATGTGCTGGCACATGGACCTCCTCCTAGTCAGATTCCTCAGGGGTCAGTCCGTGTTGACTCAGAGGCTCCTGTGCAGACCGGTGTCCTTCCCATGGATGAAAAAGCATTGTCTGGCCTTCAAGCCCGGATGGAAAGGCTTAAAAGCGGGACCATTGAACCCTTGTAGAGAGAACGAGCAGTTCTGGGATATATGATTTTCGTGTTCAAACCCTGTGAACATATGAATGGTGATGATCTTGTAAATGAGAGTTATACGTGGAGAGAGATGGGAGGCGGTGGTTGCTGATGTAGAGATGGAGCATCCGTGGCCACTGAAACTCTTTCTGCGATGATGATGTGGTAAATGCATTGTTGGTGCCCCTGCTTTTTAATGTGGCAAATTTGTAGATTATTATGTGTTCAGGTTTCTGTTTAACTGCTTCAGTATGTATAACGTCTCTGTATTTCAACGATTTACCCGATTCCTAATTTCAAGTGATGCATCATTCATTTTTTTTTTAGTTTTTGCATCGACTTTACTTTAGCTATCCATTTTATCAATTTTAGCTCATTTGATGCTTAACAAATTTGAAAAATAAAAATGCGAGAAAAAAACCTAGTATCGTCTGGTGGTGGCCATCGGGTTGGCCATCTGGTCGAACCACTCAACCTGTAATCTCATATATGAAAATATTAGGGCCAATTTAAAGATTTGATCACTTGGAAATTGATCCACAAGGCTATTTTGATAGTGAGTGTAGTGACTCAAATGGCTTCTCCATCTAGATGGTGAGTTAGCCATTTAACGAGCAGGGTTTAACTAAATACATGGGGCCTGTGTCTTTTACACTGGGGCCCATGAGTTTATTACTGGCGTGGAACCACAGCCCGCTGAACGGTTAAAGTGTTCAGCTAATCAGTATCATGTGATGGGTTTATAAACTTGACCATGGGATAGGAAACACGATAAAAACCAATGTTACAGAAATTGATTGCAATTGCATTTTCATCCCACTTAGGTCGACTTGTTATATCATAAATTAAATAATAAAAGTATTTTGTAGAAAATTTTATAAAACTTGTAGAAGTTTGATCATGCCTTTAATAATATATATTTGCCATAATAAACAAAAAACATGTTTGAAAAATAAGAATTGTGTTATCACTAACGGAAATGGCTAAATTTACAAATAATGGAAAAGAAGAGTAGATGTCGTACACATTGCCTATAGAAAAGAAAAAAGCCTAAAAAAATTGTCAGGGCGATAGGCCAAATCATTGTGAATATTTGATTTTGTTGCAAGTTGAAAAATATTGATATAAATACAAGGAAAGAGACTTAAAAGTTAAAACTAGGTCTTTAGTTTGTAAGGCAATAATTCTATCATCAATTACTTTTCTTTCTTATATGAGTTTTGATAAGAAAACTTATTTTGTTAGTGTTGTTGTTGCTATCATTTAAAATTGCTATATGCATCATATCTACATTGTATTTTGGAAACTATGATTCATTGTCATTTGTAAATCATGATCCATTGTTAATGCCGTGTGGGTTGATGCCTGATGGTTAATTTCTTTAAGTTGCTGGGTTTTTGACCAATTGTATGTATTTTTTTGAGTAAAAATGGATTGGGGGTTAACTTAAACGAGAATCATGACAGTGATGGATTAAATGGTCTGACCAGCTTGGTCAACAATGGATTGGAAATATTAAATCTAAGTAAATTCTTATACAGGTATATTATGAAGTTCATATTCTTAATGTTTATATATGTTTTTGCTGGTATAACATTAAATTCATGTTTTAAAGGTAACTAAGGTGTTGTTTGGATAGACTTCGTGATTTATTCTTTTGATTGTATGGAAGTACAAAGTATAAATTATATTTTTGCTTTCATACTTTTATTTTGAAATGCATTTGATTGGATAACTTTCAAAAGTATATTTTTTAAAGTAAAAGTAACACATGGCATTTTTTATACAATAAAATGCTAGACAAGTGAATTATGTCATATGACATTCAAATATGTTGATATATTGTGTATCCAAATATCATGTGTCTTGTCTTATTGAATACATTCGAGTACTGTATTGTATCTACATATATCACTATATGACACATGCCATTTTATCATATTTAAGTGTCATGTAACATTCATATATTCTATCATGTGGCGTATACATGTCATTAAATAGCCATTGTCATCTATATCTATTATTATGTGAGACATATATGTTATTGATGGCATTTTATATATGCTGCCATATGACATTGAATATATTCTAATGTCATATGACATCCATATTTGCAATTATATAGCATGCATGTACGCTGAATACATTCAAGTTCCATGTGGTATCTATATATCTTACAATATGACACATCATGTGACATCCATATATACGCTACCACATGAGATAAATTTTTTTGAATGCATTCTATGGTGAGAGATATATACCACATGTGCAATTAATGCCACATGCTTTAATAAGTATAAACTATAAGTATAAGGCAAAAATTAAGGTGGTTTGAAATTAGACTTTGTGCTTTTGGTGTTTTTATACTTAAACTATGTGTTTGGCATCGATGCTGCAGATGCAGCACTGTTTTCGCTAATGTGTGGGTTGGAAGCATCGTTTTTGTCTTTTTTTTTTTTGGAACCATTGTTATCAGGTAGGACGTTTCTTGGAGCAACAACTTTTTCTGTTTGGTATCAATGCTCCAAGAAATGTTTTTAACACTGGTACCTATTATCCAATACTACATCACGCCACCTTACATCCCTTTTGGTAGTAATGAGCTGTAGCTCCAGGAAATGCCAAATTTGACATTGCTCCAAGCCCATGCCTTTCCGATTTCTAAGGTGTGGCTTGGAATACTATTTTTTGTGGAAAAACAATTCCAAACCAATACCCATTTCTTGGAATACTGTTTTTTTCAATGTGGTGCTGATGTGACACCGTTTTCTGAAACAATGGCAACTAGGTCAAACAGACGCTAAAAATATCGGGCATGTTTTCTTACTCTGTAATACTTTCAAAAAATCTATCCAACAGTACTTAAAAAGGATATTCGGGAACCATTGCATTTCACAAGGGTTCTATACTTCATTTTACCAAAAGTCAAGAACGACCTGCCCTAACCATGCATTGTTTTTCTAAAAAATGATGAGTGGGTGTTCAAAGTGCTTTGGTTTTATTAGCAAAATACTATATTTTAATAAAAATAAATGAACTGTGAAATCTACATACTAACATACATCATTGCAGCAGGCACGTACAAGGTGATCAAAGAATCGAGACAAAACTGCTAGGGAAAATATGGAAAATTAATTGCTATCTCAGACCAGGGTAAGAAATTTTCTATGATTATTGATAATTGGTAAATTACCCACAAGAAAATTGCTACTTAACAAACGTTTTAATATTAACCCTGAGTGAATATGTGGTGAGAATGAAGAAGATGACTCCCCCTTTTTCCTTCTTTTCCCTCTTGTATTAAAACAGACAGTTAACTAATAAGGAGAAGCACAGCCCTGGAGAAGGGATAAGGACAGAAATTACACATGAACGGAAAAGATTAATGCCCTTGAAAGTTTATAAATCGTTTGACCTATATAAGAAAGATGGCTTAATTTCTTATTGTGGGCAGTTTAGAAATCCAGGAATGAGGCAAGAATATTAAATTCACCAATGGTGGCTCAATCGGTGACATCACCGGTTGTTTTATGGTGGTAATGGAGATCAGATCAAATCCTGTCGCCACTAGGATTGAGGGCAGTGTTTTCAAACCGTCATTGATCCAGACAGTTTGATCATTTGGCTTAAAGAACCATATCACTTCTGTTTCATTCTAAATCTGTTCTTTGAATAAAAAAATAGTGATTTGGTCAGTAACCTACTGAGTTGGGTGGACCCTCGACCCATTTGATCTGAACAACGGTTTTTGATTATATTTTTATTTTAATTAAAACGGGCCATCTGTTTGAACTGAATAATAGAGTTGGTGGTTTCAGGTGTTTGGGGTTGTATATTTGCACCAAAATTAATATAAAACGCAGAAATTATGAGGGGAGATCAGAGATGTTAGGTATCACGTCAATCACCTGCTGATTATGCTTGGGCATCAAACAAACACCGCACCCTGAAAGAAAAGGAAATCGGAGCTAATAGAGTTTGTGGATTGAAAACTTGTGATGCATTTCATTGTTTATTTATTAGCTAAAATTACGTATCACCTTGCTTGAACCAACCCCATGTTGGTAGTATGGAATGTTAGTGTGAGGTATTGTTATGATGATCCCTATCGTGACCCGTTCCCAATCAAGTTGAGAGAAATTTGAATGCAAAATTTCATAATGATTTCTGGTGGGAATAGTAGGTGGGGGGTGAGGAGCTCCTGTGGCGGTATGGACCTAATTCATAATCAGCTTTTGGGTCCAACCGGAAAACAGAAACTTATCTAATTTGTTATTTTTTTTCTTATTATGTATCTTCTGACTTGAGAGAGTGAAGTAGAGAGGTTTCTAGATGTTTTGTGGTTTAGGATTTATGTGAGAGAGGTTGTGCACCTCTCTAATCTACATTGTTGATTCTATAGTGGATTTCTGCTCATTCTTTACTTAAATCGAACCATCTAAACCTATGTATTCTTTTACTCTTTACTTTTCTTTATCTTTATTTTTTCTTCATTTTATTGTGCAATTTGAATTTATGTTTATGGGTTTTCTGCAACAGAATCAACGTATGAGGTGAGATCCCTAAAATGTCATATTCTGATCCAGGATTGTTTATCATGTTCTGTTGGTTGTGTTGGAATTGGTACCATGATTATGTGCTTTCTTGTTTTTATTTTGTGAAAATAATAATGGAGTGGAAGCCTTCTCACAGCCTTCATGGTCGCTCATTAATTATATGTAATTGGATAAGGTTTAAAATGATGATGATGATAATGAGGATGGTATATTACGTCCCCAATGGAGTAGATGTACCATTATCTAATTAACCTTATACAAAAAGCAGCACCAGACAATTAAGCAGTCACATATAATTGCATTAATTTTTTATCTCAAACACCGACGTGTCTACATATCACTGGGGTCGGAATTGTTCTTCCACGGTGGTTGTAGGCAAGGTTTTTAAAAATGTACCACATAAAGAACCGTTTTGGATTTGGTTCTCGGGACTGTCCTCTCTGACAAAAAAAATAAAAAATAATAAAAGGGTTAAAATCGTTGTTTGGGTTGACGATTTGACTGTCTGGTTTTTGGTCAAATAGCAGTTTTAGGGTGAAATAGAGGACCAATTTCTGGTTTTTCTAGTCTGATCATTTGATATGGTCCGGTTTTAAAAACACTGGTTGCACAGGTGATGTTTTCTCCTTCAAGATGGGGTGGGGGTCGGGTTATGGGTATGAGGGACAGGTTATCTCATTAATAATAATAATAAAAAAAAAAAACTAATAGGGGGCGTTTGATAACACTTTTCAGAGGTTCGGTGTTTGAAAAACTTACTTTCCAAA